GGAGACAGTATGAAAGATGAAACCTGAGTCAGCACACAGACAGGTGCTTTAACACAGCACCACGACTCGCACTAACGTCAGCTGCTGCACCGTGGACGACTTCTATCCAGTGCATGGGTCATACAAAAGGAAATAAATAATACAATAATTTCACTTAACTAAAATTCAAGTCGAGTCATAATCACTTTACAGAGAGATGTGACCTTTTTTTTATTGCTAAGTGGTCATCATGGTCTAATGACTGATCAGTTTGTGTAAAGGGCATACGTTTTTAAAGAGTAAGTTTGATATTGATTTGAAAAAAACTAAATTAATTTCAGTCTGGAGACATTTTACCGTCTCTTACAGAAAAGTTGTTTTATATTTAACAGTGAGGCCTCCTGATGCACTATGGTGCACTGTGTTATTAAATGTTTTTAAACAGAGCATTCAGTCAGTGCTATATTTATTAGAAAATCTGTTTACAATATTTTTTACATGTGGCTGAGGACAACTGTGTAATAGTATTTGTTATAGTCATATAACAGTTTAAAATATACACTGTGATCACCTGTCCTCTGTAGTCTTTAGTTCTGCAGACCTTAGAGGAACAATAAATTAAATATTCTGCTGAGAAGAAAGAGATTATATATTCAACGCAGCACATTCAAAGCCGTGCAGGTTTTTTTTTTTTTTACATTTTTTTACAACATTTTATCTAGTTAGTAAAACCCTCAGAGTCCAGAGACACTTCTCTGTGTTTTGGTCAACCTCTGACCATCAGTGGTAGTATAAATGATTGAAAGGCATCCAAACTTTTTGAACTTTTAGGGCAGCACGGTGTCTCACTCTGGTGTATTGGTTTATCTTCCATGTGTGTGTGCTGCTGTGTGTAACTCACACTTCTCCTCCTTCTGCTCAAAGCGGAGAAACTAGAGAGAGACAAAAACAAAAAGAAAAACTGCTCCAACTCCAGATCCAATTATTCACTTCCAAAGGCTAACTCATCACTAGCATCCAGTGCCACAGAGCGAGGAACTTTCAGAAATTATCGTTAAATAATTCCGCTTTAATGGGCAATTTAACAATGGTTGTGGGTAATTTATATTTATACCTTAATGTGATATTAAAGGGTTGACATGTCCATCCCTAATTTAAGGTATTAATAAATGCAAGTGAGAGTTAAGGCCATAAAACACCAGCTCTAATGTGTGTGTTTTTTGTCTGAGGTTTTGGTTTTTAAATTATATTCAGGTACATTAGCCTAATGGAAAATGTCATGAATCAAAAAGCAGGAACAAATTCACTGCAGATAAATTGGCTGCTTGACATCCAAACACTCCTTGCTTCTCTGCTGCATCGTAACAGTTTGACACATTACCTTGGCTTTAAACCTGCTTGTGTCAAAAAAAGCCAAGGCTGTAAAGTTACGAGGAGTTCCACGTGATAATTTAGACAAATGGTACCAGAGTGACAGGCTGCTGCTGAGGTAACGTTTCATCACAGCTCCACCTCACTAATCTGCCAGCAAAGGACGTTGACAAATGTGTGACATTATCCAAAAGTAATGAGTAAGTACTTGAAACAGCTGCAGTCGTGACGCATAATCAGACAAACTGATAATGTATAAAGTTTGATATTGTCTAGTTAGCTGAAATCAATGGACAAATGATCCAAATAGCTGAATAAATGAATGACTAGTTATACATACATCAATCATTTTAAACATAATACAAGTATTCACTTTGATGTAACTGCAAAGAAATACTATAAATATGAGTCTTGAGTTCAGTTTCAAGGCCCATCCACCCTGATCACAGGTCAGATTTCCTGCCCAAAAGCTGGAAACAGAGGCCAGAGGAAGAGCAAAGATACATCACTCCTGGACAAGATTTTCACCTTGATCTGAAGTTTGAACGTCTGTTAAAGGTTAGAAGGCCAAAGCATTGACCACAGCTCCACTGTGTGGCTCCCTATTTAACATCAGTCCACCAGCTAGCACCACTTGAAGGACCAGGAAAGTTGCTACATGCTAAATATTAACAAAGACAGAAGAGACAAAAAAAAGACTGTCTTTGTGCAGCTCAACTTTGACTCTAATCTAATGATTAAAAGATAACTGTGCTGTTGTTAGAAAACAGGGTGTGTTGGGGGGGGGGTAAAGGGGATAATTCAGTACTCACTGCTCTGACCTTTTGGAAAAACGTCCTCGCTTTACTTAAAGTTCTACTGTTAAATTTGAAGTTTGAAACAGACACCTCTTTCTACTATATATTATATACTTATGAGACATGGTTGTTGACTATCAAAGTCTTTGTGTCTTTGCAGCAGTAACATGACTTGTGTGTGCACAATGCTCTCGCAGACGCTGCACAAAAAGCTAAGAAAAGAGGCAATCGTGGCACTCGCTCCACTTCACTCCTTGATTGCTCCATCCTTTCATCCCTTCACCTGAATCTACACTACACCACTGAACGACACAACACTGACTGAAACACACAGTTTAAAAGCAATATAATATTAGTACCTGATATCAATGTGGAGCCTAGCTCCAATGTGCATCAAAAGGAACAGAATGAGAAAGAGTACAGTTCAGGACAGGACTGACGAGCCTTGTTCTACAATGGACATTGAAACAACCATGTCTGTACACATTTAATTTATTGACCTATGAGCAACGCAGAACTATTGAGGACCATTAAGTGTCTGTGGACCAAAAACTAGGCACTGATTGCTGAGAATGTGGCGACCCATAGGTTGAAGATCACAAAATGCACCACTAAATATTTTTTATAAAACTTAACTTGAAACAAAAAATCACTACCTTTTGGTTCAACAAAGAATTTTAAAGTACCAAACAGAGGCTGACTCACACTAGTCCAAATGTATCCATGTTCTTTTAAAAAAATGATTTGCCATTGGTGAAATTACTGAGCTGAAAACAAATTTAAATATAACAAGATCAAGATCTTTACACTCAATGCACACTGTACTTGTGTTGCTGTGGCAATAATTTGAGCGTAACGTGTGCTACACTGGAAATAATTTGGATTTTAATATCCTTTTTTTTCCCCCAAACCAAACAAAAAACCAAGAGTCTTTGCACTGAGCAGTGAGACTCAGCAACACTCTACAGTCTGAGCATCAAATCCCCCACAAAGGAGAAGAGGAAGAAAATGATGATGATGAGGGAGAAGAAGATGATGAGGTAGACTAATATTAATAATAATGAAAAGGTCTCAGTGACACATGGGCCCACACTCTTCTAGGTGACAACCAGCTCGTCAGCCCCTGAGTTACAGTAGCCCCCTGAGATTGGGCATCAACTCACTGCAGGATAATTATGTACGCCTCAGTCTTTGTCAGTAACACCAAAAAGCTCAGAGGTTTTTAGTAGCAAAGTAATTAGAGCATTCCTGGACTGGATCCTGGAGCAGCTTCCATCTAACTCTGCTCCTTTACAGAGTCAGAAATACAGTGTAAGATAAGCCCTTTATTATTGACCATAATGTGAAAGAAATAAAGGCTAACATGAAACAGAATTGTTTTTAGTTGGAAAGAAAATTATTTTTAAAAAAACACGACAAGTCCAGAAGCTCAGATGCACCACAGCTATACACGACAGTACGTGACAGTACACGGCAGTACGTGACAGTACACGGCAGTACACCTCACACCTCTGAGATGACTCTAGGGATGAGGCAGAGTCAGCTTCCAAACCATTTCCCACGTTTAGATCATTAAATCCTAAGTGAGAAGCAGTAACCAAAATCAGAAAAACACAGTAAATGCTCTTGAACGGACACATACAGAGAGGCCACTTTCTCCTGTGTTGATCTCTCAGACCTTAACTGTCATCGTGATGAGAGGTTCAATGACAAACTGCAGTTCAAAGTACTGGCCTTCAATGTGTGAAAGCTGTTACCAAACAAGGGTATAATAGAAGAGTAAAACCCCTCGGAGCTTTACCTTGTCTTTAAGAATACGTTTCAAATTGTTATTTAATAAAAACCTGAGGAAATACTCACATATATTTATGTCCTGTTAAAAGAGTAGGATTTCCTATTTATTTATTTATTTTGTTGTTGTTGCAGTATCACGGGGCATCAGCCATGAATCTGTCCTCACATGAGTCTTTTCTTTTCTGGGCTTAAATGGAAATAGCATGTTTTCGAGGAAGTGAGGTGTTCGATAAGTTAAGTTTGATCGACCGTCCGATCACAAAGTTATTAGAGCTAGATCGTGAACTGTAAAAAAAATGATGTGAGTCTATCATCTCTCCTATGGCAATTTGTACTTGATTTCCCAGCAGGTCAAAAGCTGTTATACAAAAAACATGTGCAAACCTTCACATTGTATGGTCTACAAATCAGATTAAATATTATCTGTCAGATTGTGAGAAACAGGTGTAGGACTTTGAAATACTTCAGCCAATCACTACGAGTGTACTATCCATTTAGGAAAGTGCTTTGCCAATACGAGCTGAAATTCAGTACTTCTGTCCAAAATACACTTTCCTTCCTTCCTTCCTATTCCTGGCTGGCTCCGTTCAGTGCAAATCTTCAGTTGGGTTGTGACCAAAAAGGTAATGAAGTGTGCCATAAGTGTCCATACAGCTGTACAAGGTATGGCAAGTACATTATATATACGTTTTTAATAAATAAACCTAAATTTTTTAATGTAATTTAACCACAAAAAAGATAAAACAGACAGAGAACAGCAAAACACTGAAAATGCAGTAAAATGAGGCACTTTGTTTTTATTTTATTGTTACTATAATTATTTTACTTATTATTAATAATAATACTAATAATCACGTTAGTTGTATCGATATCTTTAAAGCATTATTTACCTGGCAAATAACTTAAGGTGGTAAAGAAGACTCGACGGGGTTGAAGTAAAATGATTAAATTCAGATTTAACACCAAAGTCAATATCCTAAACTCCAGTTCGTTAACAAGTACCGATACACAAACCTGTACCGTATGTGTGTGTGTGTGTGATTCGGTCATTTGACTTACACTGGACCGGAACTGTCACAGCTCTCCCTCCACATCTGCAGCACTGGAGATGTTCCGACGGTCCCTGCTGGTGGTCTTCTCCAGAATGAGATATTCGCAGGATGTACAATTGTGTTCCTCTGCGCTCCTTCTTTCTCCTCCTCCTCCTCCTTCTACTAACTCCTCTTTCTCCAGCAGTGAAGGCAGCGGCAACAGCAGCAGAACTGGACTGGGCTGCATTTACTCACCCTCCCTCCCCGCTGTCTCCTCTCCTTCCCCAAAG